TTCAGACATGCAGCCTGGTGGACCAAACTGGTTACCTGGTGGATCAATCAAACTGGTTACCTGGTGGATCAAACTGGTCACCTGATGGATTGAACTGGTCACCTGATGGATCAAAATCGACGCCTGGTGGATCAAACTGGTTACCTGGTGGATCAAACTGGTTACCTGGTGGATCAAACTGGTTACCTGGTCAAACTGGTCACCTGGTGGATCAAACTGGTTACCTGGTCAAACTGGTTACCTGGTGGATCAAACTGGTTACCTGGTGGATCAAACTGGTTACCTGGTGGATCTAACTGGTCCCTGAGGTTCCACCTGGTCTCTGGAGCCTCAGCCAGGTGGGTCAGATCTGCCTTAAAGGGCTCGTCTCACCCCCAGCTGCCTAAAAGAGCCTCCTGATTCAGGAGCAGCGCCCCCTGCTGTCTTCTCTGTGCTGGTCACAGCCTCCTCCCACCTGGTACCAGCCAAGCAGCACTAAGCCAGTGGATCAGCTTCCTGTGTCTCCTGACCAGAGATGAGTTCAGTTCCTGCCCATCAGCATCAGGCCTTCTGATCAGTATTCCTCTTCAGCTTCCACTTGGAAATCTGCAGCAGACATGGATCCTGTAAACGATAATCAAACATGATGGGGATTATATGATTCTTCATCATCAAAAAGCTCTATAAATACGACTGATGAATGGTTGATAACTGCTGGATGGAAATTGTAAAATAGGTGCTGACGGTGTAAACTGTCTGGAGAAAAGTCAGGAGCTCTCTGTGTTTCTACTTCCTAAAAACCAGTCAGAGGATGCAGGAAGAGAGAAGGTGGATTGGTTTACTGATGTATGCAGGAGCAGACAGTCTGCGCCGCAGCATGAAAGGTGTGTGAGCATGCTGAAACATGTGACAACGCATCGACTGTTCAGCTTCAGATGAAGCATGATGGGCTCGATCGATTGCAGAGACATCAGACTTTCACATCTTCAACAGAAAAACAAATCAAGATGAAATTATGTGTTTGTGTTTCTTGGATTTGTTGCTAAACTAAAGTTAAAAGTGTCACCATTTCAACTCCATATCAACTTAACTGTGTTTTAGAAACAGATGTTTTAATAAACAGAGTTTAGGATCAGGAAATGTTGAAAGTTTGGGATTAAGTTACAGATATCAGAAATATAAGGAATAAACGGCACATTTCCTGTTGCTGGAGTTTTAGGAAAACACACATTTCAGTAAAGTGACGACTTTTAGGTGAAGAACAAAAATTGTTTTAAAAAGTGACGTCCTCTGTTGAAACACTTATAATTTTCTGAATTAGATGTGTTTGTAATATATTTGCCTACAAAGAGCAGGTAAAATGTTGGCTAACATTATCAGCCAACCAACAATGTCTGATTTTAACAAACTTTGACACATTGGTGGCCATGTTGCTCTTTAGGTTTTCTCCAAAATGTGTGCAGTTAGGCCCAAATATGTGAAAAGGCCTACAGTAATTGCAAAGTTTGATCATAATTTCAATCAGTTTGGGGTTTCTCCCCTTCTTTCGGACTTCCTCTGGTAGATTTTCTACCGTCCAATCAGTGAACAGGAGAAGTTGTGAACGATGATATTGATTTTCTGCCGTTTTAGGATCATGGTCGATTTGTAGTTTCAGCAATCTGAATACAGCAGCAAAAGGGCAGCTCTATAATTTTTAGCTCGTTGTTAAAGTACAATTGTGAACGTTAAAAACCGTTTTAGTATCATTTCCTCAGAACCCCTCTTGGACCCGTCTAGAACCGGCCCTGGGCTGCAGGTCTGGTGCATTTTTGCTTAGCATGTTTTTTCTTCATTGATTGGAAGTCAGATTATCCAAACTGGTAAACCACATTAATGAAATAATAGTGAAGTAATACATTAAATGACCACTATGCATTCATGTACTCATAAAATAACAATATTTTTAAATGAAACGCATAGAAATCCCTATGAAACTTTGTTATTGTAGGAATATTTATGCATTTTCTGGTCATTTATTAGTATGATTTGTTCTTTATGTAACCAGGTGGCTTGTTAGTCATAAATTAGTCATGTGGAAGTGGCTGGAAATTCCTACCCGTGTCGGGCCTATGAACACACCATGCCCCGTTTATTTTAATTAGTAGAAAACAGAAGTCAGTTCAGCTTGATTCAATAATAAGAAAATAATAAAACTTAATCTAATCTAACCCAACATCTTCCCTACTGCTGCACCTGAAGGATCCTAACTGAACAGAGATCAGGATCTCAGGGACTCAGTAATCTTCACCACCTGGCTGTTTTATTTTTGAATTATTTTAAATTATCTTCTACATGGACACTAAGCACTGCCTCACCTAATTTTGATGTATATTAAGGTATATGTTGTATTTTAACTATTAAAATAATCCGTTTTTAGCAGGTGGTGAGTAACCAGCAGCTCAGACTGGTTTTCCTCTCACTGGTCTTACTGGTTTCTGATGCAGTTCAAACCTTCACAGTTTTCTTGTTTTCTACTTTGTGGTGAAAAGTTTCATCTCTAAATGGTCGATAAGTTTGTGGTCTGCTGCTTCGCTTCAGATAAATTTCCTTGATTCACGACAACTTAAAGGCGTGGAGCTAAAAAACCTGCTAACTTGCTGCTGTTTATCAATTCCTGCTAAATAAACAGAAGTTGTACCAAACAGTAATGAATGTTTTCATTTTGCAGGGACCGACTCTGTGAAGACAAATGATGTTTATTATCGACAGGAAGTCATCAGAAGCAGAATCAGAGGTAAAACTCTCCAAGTTATGAGATCATTTCCTGCTTCCTGCTTTAAATCGTGTGGCAGAAACGACCAACTGTGACCCTTAGAATCAGATAAACTCAGTTCAGTTCTGCCTCAGACTGTGTTTCTCCATAGAGGCGGATTTTATGTGTCATAAACCTGATTTATATTCTTTCTATTCTTTCTATTCTTTCTATTCTTTCTATTCTTTATGTTCTTTATATTCTTTATATTCTTTATATTCTTTATATTCTTTATGTTCTTTATATTCTTTATATTCTTTATATTCTTTATATTCCCATGAAGCCAAAGCATCAGTAACTCAGACTGAAGGTGGATGATGTGGCAGATTTTCCTTCAGCCTTTTTCCAACTTTATGACCCTCAGTGAAGATGCCACAGTCTGAAACAACGATCCTCTGACCCAGAACCGGCCCAGGCCTCCATGGGGCCCTGAGTCAAATCTGGTTCTGGGCCCTCTGGTTCTGCTGCAGTCATCTGAACAATCAGACGATTAGATCCTTCAAAAACCTGCTATAAACTTATTGCATCTCTGGCAGAGCTGTTAGCATCACATCCTATATGCATTTATAACATCAGCGGCAATCTCCTTAACTTTCTGGGTCGGTGATCAGCTGATACTTTCCTGTGAAGCCGATCTTATCCACTGATTTGATCTTCCTCAGCAAAGGTTTAAAAATTAACCCAACTTAAGGTGAAATACATACACACATATTCATGATATACTTTGATTAAACTAATTTCTCTTAACTCCAATAGCTTAAAATCAAATTTATACCAGGTGAGTCTTTTTCCCCTGGAATGTGGACCGGTACCGGTACTGGACTGGTTCTGATTCTTCAAATGATTTTAACAGAAGTTTCTCATAAGTTAGAAGTTGATGTAAAATAATGTTTGTTTTAGATGTTTTAGATACATTAGGATCATGCTCAGCAGTAAACAGCATATCACCAATGAGAGCTCAGAGCAGCTCAGTGATATATTAATGCTGCAGCCTGATGGAAAACATTTTGCTAGACAATGAAAACATGTCAAACTTTGACAAGTTTTAATTATTGTTTTCAAATGTCATCCAACACGTCATTTTGAAGCCAAAAACCCCTCAAAAAAAGAAAAAAACTCAGACACAAAAACACAAAGGCAGTAGCATAAATATCTGGCTGTTGAGCTGAACTATTACCAGTCGCTATCAGGCTAAGTTTCTATTAACAGCTCCACTAATCATTCTGATAAACATTAAATTACCAAGAGAAATCAAACCTTTATCTTTACTTTTTTATATTCTTCCTCTTTTCTCTGTCCCTGAAGGATAAGTCCTTCTGTGAGGCATTACTTTACCAACTTATCTTCCTCTGGAGCTTTGGAGGTTTGGATGCTCTGCAGCTCATACCAGTCAAGTGTAACCAACCGTGGCCACCAGGGGGCCCCCAAGAACAAATGATTTGTTTTTTCTTTCTCTTTGTCCATGTAAAGAATGGTTCCTACATACATTATAATATATAACATAAGTTATATATACAGGGTGGGCCAAACGTTTCCATATATAGGAGAATGTAAAATGTATATTTCTTTTATATTTCAGATACACAAGAAGATGCGTTTGAAAAAAAAGAGCAAAGAAATTATACTGATGGCTGGACTGGGAAGCAGTCGCATGTTTGCACAAAATTATGAAATTATGGAACAAGCATCACACACGACACACAAAACTTATCTGCAAGTTTCATGAGACTGGAAATGTTGCAGGTCAATCATGAAGTGGTCCAAGACGCAGAGCGATTAGAATCCCACAAAAATAAAAATGGTTGTCCAATATAAAATGTTTCTTTAACCAATCACATAATTATTTATTTTTTTTTTTTTAAATCATAAACACTACCGGT